TAGATGACAAAGTAATAAATTCAAATCTGATAAAGTGCTGGGGCAGAAGCACATTTAGGCTGCTATAATTCCACTGAAGTCAACTGTACAGGATTTTAGCCTGATTTGTTTATTATTATTTTATTTAACAAAATGTATACAGCACTTACTCAACAGAAAATCGCTAAGTAGTTGGCAATCAACAACCTAAAACATTCATTAAAGCCTTGCCATTCACTGGATTGAATTCCCACAGCAAATATTCTGAGGCATCCAGTGGTGCTTTAGGAAACACCAAACACAAAAACATTAATGGGAGATGGAGGAACACTTCCTTTGCATGGCAACTGAAAACAAGAACGCGGTTTCTGAATCTACTAATCAACACAGGCTGATCATGAGCAGTGGAAACAAGTCTGCTGCCTGGATGACTGAAAAACTAACAAGAATTCAAAAGAATATTGACCATGACACCATTGCAGTTCCACATGAGACTATGCTAGTGCTCAGCAACACACAGCTTCTATTAGAAGCAAATGCATCAACGCAAATATTTAGAAATTAACCAAAGCCACATCTAAATATTATTTTTATATTTCTTTTCCTTTTTTGCCAATGCTTAATAATGAAGGTTATTAAGGCCAAAGGAGAATTTGTAGTGTAATAATTCTGATTTCCAAACACAATTAATAAGGAAAAATAACATTTAACTATGTGTCATCATCCCCCGCAAGTAGTTAAAAACACAATAAGAAAACTGAATGTTAAGGCTATGCAGTTTTGTGCGATTTTCATAGGTTTTCTTATTATGTGAGCTGTTTGGTATACTCACATCTCCCTCTAGTGGACCCTGATCCTCCCTATCCCTGGTTGGGCTGATGTCCTGTCTCATCACCCAAATGGGCTCTTTGGGTTCATCGGGGGTATAAGGAGAACGGATGGTCCTAGTCTTCACTTCCTCAATAGCTTCCTTAATGTCTTTGATAGCCAGGGATATTGCATCCCTTTTCTCCTTGCTGTATCTCTGCACTGGATCTCCCACATTAACTGTAGGTCTAGCGCCAACAGACAGCGGACGGTTGCTTTCATGGTGAACATGAGCAGGAGCATCACCAGGGTCCACATTCTGCTCTGCTTCTGGCATGTCTTCAGCAGCTTTGTCCAGGCTCTGAGAACTCATGCTCTGCTTGACTTCAGCCACAATTTGGTCAATGTCTTCCTCTTGTTCATAACTGTCCATCCTTGGATAGGGAGCAAACTCTGCCTCTTTCTCAGGGCTGTCAGACTCTCCATCAGAGCGCTCATCATAGTGGTGGAGTCGGGCACCGAGAGCTTCCTTTCGATAGTTGTCAGCTTCCTCCCTCTCTTGCTCGTAGAGTCTAAGGCCTTCCCGAACATCCAGGTCAGGCGTGTCACCTATCTCCTCATAGACATGTTCCTGCAGCCCATAGTCGGCATAGGGCTCAGCATACTGCTCATCTTCCCCCCGGTGGAAGAGCCGGTGGGTGTACACATAGCCTGAATAAGCAGCATTCATGGCTTCCTCGTGCTCAATGGAGTGGAAGTGCAAGTGGTTGGGGAGAGTTCGGTTACGAATCGTCTCCGCATGTTCTGCCTCAGCATTTTCTGTGTACTCCTCTGCCTCGGGCCTGTACTGCACTGCATAGGCACTCTCATCCTCATTGTCCAGCACTCGGTCTCCTTCATAGGCATCCTCCACTGGGGCTATGACATCTCCCTCAGCAGTGTCCGTGTGGTTGTGGAAGCCGCTCTCCGTGCTAGCTGACCGTGCCAACGTGCCCTCCTCCTCTTCCTGTCGAGAACGTCCCTCAAGGCTGCTGTTGGCACATCTCGGGTAATGACTGGCATACTGGGGCTGTTCATCCTCTACCTCAGAATGTTCCAGGTCAGCCTCCACAGATTCATTCACCACTCTGCTCCTTAGTTCATCATTCACCTCTCCTTCAGCTGGTCCCTCAAAATGGTTCATGGCAGGTTCTCGAGGGAGCCTCACTTATTCTATTGACATTTTGTGTGTTGAGGCTGTAAAGAAGGACAAAAAATGAACACCTCTTATTACACAGGAACAAGGAAGGAGTTTCTTAAAGCCCTGTAGAATTAATATAACAATACTGTATCAGTTGGCTTTTTTTGATTTTACATAAAATAAACTGTTATTTATTTATTTGATTGATTGATTTCTATCCAGCCCTATACCCAAAGGTCTCAGGGCGGTTCACATAAACTGTTGCCTTATATGCTGTAAAGAATCAGACATGTGAGTTCTGATAAGCTGAAAATTTAAGTAACGTGTTACCAAAAATTAATTTAAGATATTAGCAGAAAACCCTAGCAAGAATGGAGAGAATGTATTGGATACTAGCTGACTAGCCAGAATTTAACAGACAAGCAGACAAGATGGACAGCGTGAGGCATATTCTGCAAAGGAAACGTGCTCAGAATAAGAGACCGAAGGAGGAGGGCAAAAGGCAAGGGACAGAGAAGAACATACTGAGGACAGATGCCGCCTGGGGTAATATGGTTAATAGAACAACTGGGATATGCTCTAAGTAGGCAGACTGTGGAGAATAACAGAACAAAAGATTATACAAAAGGGATCTGACAGAAACAGAAAAAAATAAAAACAGGGAAGTGAAAACTGAACTCACTAGGTGATAGCCAACTAAGCCATTATTTTGAGGAGGCCCACTGAAACCACTGACAAGCCATTTCAATGGTCCTACTCTGACCCACTGAATAAATCCAAGGGGAAGAAAACGCCAGAGAAGTACATGCAATGAACAGTTCTTGTCTCTAAAAACTTAATTGCCTGCCCTGAGCCTTTTCTTTTCTCCACATTGAAGTAAAGAACTTCACCTCCGACCTGTTAAGAGAGCCCCACAAAGAGGTATAAGAAAATAAATGGGCTCTTCTCTCCCCCCCCCCCCGGCAAGCTGCTGGAAGCCATTTTACTTTTCTGAGCAAAGCTGAAGGCTCTGATATGCAGCATTATGAATAAGGCCGGTTCTGGAACACGAAGAGTCATCACGCCATACACTCGAGGGGAAGTAAAAATTACAGCTTTTGGTTTATGTCCATTTAGAGAAAGGGGGGAAGGTGTTCGTCAAACAGGAACATTTATAACTTGAAATGACTATAAATGGATGTGCTATGCCAATAAATATTTAGCACACCGATAGCACTGATGTAGAGCCAGAAATCTGTGAATCTAACACTTAAATGCTCCTGCTATGTCATGGGGGTAGAATTTTGTTAGCACTGGATAGTCTGGAAGCACACACTATATTTGATCCCTCGGTTACTGTACGAAGAAGCGGCAACAACCATCTCTAAGCAGCTGCCAGGATAATTCATTACAGAGATAAGAAAAACAATTTTAAAATGGTGGGACCAAATTCCAAGGCTGGGATGGGAGAGACCTTCCCAGCCAAGGTGTGCATCTTAGACAGGTCACCACTGCCAGGCTCTGAGGGTTCCCTGGGCATGGGCAGAAGTCAATAAGAGTGTGTTCTCTCTCTCTCTCTCTCCCTCCAATCTATATATTAGCTACCAGCCTTTCAATAGAGAGAGAAGGAGGATACGAGAGCATAAGCAGAGGGGCAAGGCACTTTTGGTCTCACTGAAGGAAGTCGAAAGATGGTTTTTATTTCCTCTTCCATCATAATCACATCTCAGGGAACACTGAGTGAAAATGTGGTCGTGTGTACCCCATAAATTCATGCCACAGACCAAGAATAACTGCAAACTAACTTTAGCAATTGTGTGGGCAAAGGCCCATTAAAAAAAAAGAAGAAGAAGAAGCACACTTCAGCTAAAATCAACTTTAGGAAATAGCTGCCATCAAAATAATTTTACAAAATTCACAAATTAAAAATATGCACACTCAAAGTTTCTGTATTTGCACTGAATGTTCACATTCACTTATGTCTCTGCACTTTAAGGCAGCTGTGGTATTTATTATGATGTCTCCACATACAAACACCTTCAGTAACAAATTGGTCAACTTGGATCCAGGGAAAGGTCTGTAATTTTCATAAATGTCTCATGATACTGGTACCTGAGTAGACTTCAAAGGACTTTTTACATAGCACTTTCACGTCCTCTAAATTTATTTGAAATTGACATCCAAGAGCAGCTGGGATTTATAACATCACTTGATGTATGTATGCTTTGTGGTCTCAAATGAGTACTGTACAGTAATAGCGGAAAGGCAGGATATAAATCTTTTAAACAGTGTATTTGACACATCTGAAGGAATCAACGCCAGTCATTTGTAGCCTAGAAGAAATAATGGGTAAAATCCAACACTGTGCTAAGGTGAACATTCTTTCAGTGCAAGGATTTCTCCAAGTGCAAGAAGATGTTTCCTCCCTCCCTCTGTGCACCCCCTAAATCAGTTCTAGGAGTTTCCCCCACTTTCTAGAGCTGATTTGGGGGTGGCAGAGGGCCCACACAAAGAGAGGCCTTGTTGCACAACTGGAAATCCTTGCACTGATGAAACTCATTAGAAGAATACCATCCAATGAGCCAGGTTGTGTGAAGAGTCCTTGGTTAGACACCTGAAAACAACCTAATTCATCCAAACATACCAACACTATTTTCAAGTCATGGCTAATTAAAATTTTAAACTTAGGAATGCATACTTTAATATATGCAACAGAGCTGTCTTAATGCTGAATTAAAATGAAAATAAGCAGTATCACCTTGAGTATGCATTGTAAAACATACACACATGCATAATGTCTAACTTGATTTTAATCAGCTATCAAAAGGCTTCTGTGACTCAAGAGTACCATTTGTTCCATACAAATTCTGTAAAGAAGCTACGCAGAAGGATATAAGCAGGCACCAAAGCTTCCCACCTCAAAACCAGATATTAAGTAGAAGCAGCTACAAATGAAAAAGTAGCAAGAGAGAGAGCAATCCAACAAGCAGTCATATGCATAATCATATGTAAGAAGTGCCCAGGACTGAACACAGGATTTTGCTTCCATCTTATAAAGGCTTCTCGGCCTTTTGGCTAAGATCAAGTGTAATATCTTAATTTAAATTAGGGGTGGGCAACCTGTTTTCTGTTGAGAGTCACATTCCCCTGAAGGTAATACATTACTGTGGGCAGAGCTAATGCCAGCAGTGAGAGGGGCCAGAGGAGGACCACCCCCTTTTTCCTCTCCCCCCCCCCAGCCCATCCAGGGAGGAGCAGGCTGCTCCTGCCCGAGGCCTGAACTGAGAGCTCTGCAGAGCTTTTGCAATTAGGCCACGGCCTGCACGCCACCCTAGGACAAGAAGTTAAATTGTAGACATCTTTCAAAGTACTGTTTCTCACCAAACTACTATTAACTTTATGATGTTTTTAGTTCCTAGAGCATTTTAGCATCTTTACTGCATTCAGAATAATGTGAGATACATCATACTTATTCCCATTTTACAATAAGGGAAAAAATCCCAGGCCTTGCAACAAGCCCATGAGAGAAGCAGACATTTGTCACTAGATGCGCCAATCACAGCCTCTGGCTTCAATGGGGAAGAGCAGAAAGTCAATAATTTGATAAAATATTTTATATCACGAGATCTGACACTAAACTATTTTAGGGGGAACCTGGTGTGAAACCTTAAGAAAGCTTTTCTGGCAATGGCTGCTTAATACAGAGGTTTACCCTAACAAATGTAAAAGAGTGAAACCCATTTTTACAAGAGGACTAAATTAAAGGTCACAGATTAATCATTCAAATGGCCACAAAAAGTAGTCTTGCTGCAGGCATCGTATTTCTATGAGATGCTCTCCTCTCTCCTAAACACATATAAAATTATATTCAAATGCCTTCCTGTAATTTTCCATCGACAAGAGAAGTATTAGGTATCACATGGCTTTGCAAATAAAGACATACAACATTGCAGGGAAATGTAGCGCTCTCTCCCAATATTTGCTCACGGCACATAGCAGGAAGTCCTTTCTAAGCACTCCTGGCTCTGAGCTCAGACCCTGATGGATGGCTTGGCCTCTGGTGTTCCTGGCTTCTTGCATAACTTCTCTAGTGACTGCACAAAAACAATTCATAATTCGGACAGGGTTTTTTCCAAACCAACATCCTACAGTCACCTCCCCCTGCCCCTGTGACCCCCCCCACCAAAAGCTCTCAAGGTTTTATTTCTCCAATGTCTATACATGACATTTATTGCTTGCTTGCTTGCTGATTGATTGATTGTTATTTATTGCTTAGTCCAACTGAACTTTTACTTTCCTTATACCAATTGACTCTGATTGCTAGTCTTTGGAAAATACTCTTCCTTGTCAATGTTCAGGAAAATGTAATAACTGACCCTTCCCCTTCAGCAATTATAAGGATTTGGCAAATGTGGCATGCTGTGAAATCAAAGCGGCCCAGCCAATGGCTAAGAGAGCTCCAAGACACAAGCGATCGCTTTTCTGCCTAATTTCACAAACATACATTATTTGTATTTGCTTGTACATATTTTTGTAGTTTGAAAGCGTCTGTATGGAAATATTTCACAGGGAATCTAGGTTTGTCTGAAATTCAATTTATTCCTCTGATGGTCTGTGACAAATGCTATTTGGTAAAAGGAATTAGCACAGATATGTAGCTCTCTTGTTGCAAAGGAACAACCTCAATTACTTTTGTAATGGGAGCAGCACAGACATGGAGTGATGAATGAATAAAAATCCAACATGTGGGGAAACACATTTTCAAAGGTAGAATTTTTAATTGTGTTCCACACTCCTCCATTGCTCCCAGATACAATTTTTCTTGCTCTTGAATGAAAACAATTTCCTTCATGGGGGGGGGGCAATATAACACATAGGCTTTCAAATATTGTATTTGTATTATTGTAGTCCTTTTGATGGAGAGCAAAATCTCACCATCTGCCTTTCATTCACGATACTATTTCTAGTACATATACCGTATTTTTTGCACCATAACACTCGCTTTTTTCCTCCTAAAAAGTAAGGGGAAATGTCTGTGCGTGTTATGGAGGGAATGCCTACGGGTGGCATGCCTACGGATTTTCCTCCTCTAAAAACTACGTGCGTATTATGGTCAAGTGCGTGTTATAGAGCGAAAAATACGGTAGTTAACGACCTTCATGTATAAAGCTCATTACAAAAGCAGTCATGTTAACCAGGTTATAGAGAATTATTTTTGACTTTAAAGATCAAGGAATTTCATACAGCAATTCTTCATAAAGAAGAGTCGTTATTAGCTGAAGTATTCCTATCCTGTCACTCTGCACAAAGATGCCCCAAGGTGGCTATTTTGGCTAAGGCTTTCAAATAATTTCTGTAGTTCACATGTATATGATTGAATAAAGGTACTCACACATTTCTACCAAATCCAGCATTCAAAGTGTCCAATTTAAAGACAAAATGTTATAAGCAAATAAAAACATGACAGACAAAACTAATAAATTCAGTCTTAAATGTACCATCTTCAAGTCCACAAGATGTCTATATAATGACATCTGTTTGCATATTTTAGCAAATGTAAAAAGGATTTGAATATAAGCCTCTGCCTACCATCTCTTTTTTTCCATGTGGAATCTTTAGGATGATATATGCCGAGCAATCTCCTATGAAGCTTCTAGTGGGAGTTCTACATAACTTTAAAAAACTATGGTATTGTCAGTTTGTGACATCATTCCACATTCCACACATGTTCTATTACCATCCAGCAAAGACCAACAATAGGGCTCAAAAGGTAGGACAGACTCTATCTATCTATCTATCTATCTATCTATCTATCTATCTATATTGCAGTCAAAGACCAGACAGCAAAGTGAACAACAGCAACATATGCCACCTCTGCATGAAGAAGTGGATGTAATTAAAAATTCCCTATAAACTTATTTACATTAAAAATAACACTCCTTCAGCTAAAATCTGTATTCCAGAGATTAAAATCGGTATTCATTCATTGGCCCTCACAGTCACCACAGCCTTTCTTGATAGGACAGTATAGTTTGAGGGCAAAAAGCAGACTGTTAACTTTCCTCTTTTAAACCAGGACAGTAACAAAATAAAGCTATTTGCTTCACGTCTTCTGGAGTTTCTGGGCATTTTTTCATCACAGCCTTTGTTTCCTTCCCTCCTGCTTCCATTTTTTCTCAGGCCCTGGACAAGACAAACTGAACCATCCATTTCCAATTTGCCTATGCTTAGGGAGGCACAGGCAGAAGAATGTCTCCATTCAGACGTCACACTTCCCAGGGTTCAAACCATGACTAAAATGTGCCACAGATTCTGTCCCCTTCTCCTTTTCTCCTGCATGGATTCCCAGCATTCCTTCAAATTTGCTCTAACCCAGAGGAAGCCATTGCACCACCAGATAATGTTGAACCACATCACCCATCATCCCATCAGGCTAGCTGAAGCTTATGGGAGTCCAGTAATATCTAGAGGGCAGTATGCTGGATACCCCTGCTCTAATCATATGCAACTTTCACATCCAAATCAGACAACCTAATGTTTAGCATTCACCAGGGCTGACCATTCTTGGTTAACAATAATCACAATTTGCTGCCACCATACTGAAGTATGGTTGAAACAAAACCAGGATAGAGAGCAGGACAGCTCTACCCACCAAAGAGTGGAGGGGAAGGGACAGAGGGGGAGGGGGATTTCTTTAATTTTTCATGGGAGCTCAGTATTGTAGATATTGAAGCGACAGAGGGCTGCAGCTGGTCTTTCTTAAAAAAAGATTTGCTTCAAGCTGTGACACCATGACAAAAAGTGTCAGCTGCTACAGGGCAGTGTTCCTCATTGAGCATGGAGCAATGGGAATGCTGCATCATGTGCAGTGCCATTCCAGGGCCATTCTTTATAAAGAAATAAAAAAACCTGCCCCCTATCAAAGATATCCCCTGGGAACAATGCTATGTCCTAAGACTGCCATTCCTACTGGGCCATTCTCCGTGAGGAATGCTGCCAGGCAACTGCTGAGTACAGAAGATGCAGCAAAGCTTGTTAAAAACAATTCCGGAGAGACCAGCTACAACCTTTTGCTGCCTCATATCTGCAGTGCTAACTCTCTGCCTTCAGCACATTAAGAAACATATCCAAACCCCTGAAGATTAAGAAACCAATCTGTGGGGCTTCCTTGGCCACCACCCCCATGCTCCCATCTTTCAGCTTATCACTGCAAGTGAATATTTCATCTTACCTCCAAGGTAAGCTGAAGCTCTTCATGATGTCAGACAAAAGCCTTTTCCAGCTTTCCAGCTGGAAACGCCAAAGATTGAACTTTTGAATTGAAAAAAAATCACAAGCTGTCCCACTGAGCCTCAGCCCTTTCCCTGTGGATGAGGCAATGGGCTTAAGATACAGCTGTGACCAATGGCCAAAATTCAGTTACCATAAAGCTAGGATAAACTTTAAAAAGAACAATTTTAAAATATATGCACTGTCACACTACATAATTTAATCAATATATTGCCTGCCATTTAAGTAACTGAATTATACATTTGCTAATTGCCAAGGATTCAATATATAGGGCTCATTTATGATACTGAAGGAACTCATAGAATCATAGAATCGTAGAGTTGGAAGAGACCACAAGGGCCATCGAGCCCCACCCCCTGCCAAGCGGGAAACATCATCAGAGCAATCCTGACATATGGTTGTCAAGCCTCTGCTTAAAGACCTCCAAAGAAGGAGACTCCACCACACTCCTTGGCAGCAGATTCCACTGTCGAACAGCTCTTACTGTCAGGAAGTTCTTCCTAATGTTTAGGTGGAATCTTCTTTCTTGTAGTTTGGATCCATTGCTCCGTGTCCGCTTCTCTGGAGCAGCAGAAAACAATTTTGGTTGCCCTCCTCTGAACACGTTCCAGTTTGTCAGTGTCCTTCTTGAACTGTGGTGCCCAGAACTGGACACAGTACTCCAGGTGAGGTCTGACCAGAGCAGAATACAGTGGCACTATTACTTCCCTTGATCTAGATGCTATACTCCTATTGATGCAGCCCAGAATTGCATTGGCTTTTTAGCTGCCGCGTCACACTGTTGGCTCATGTCAAGTTTGTGGTCAACCAAGACTCCTAGATCCTTTTCACATGT